TACACAGTGTTATACTTTTTTTCCATATAATATCTTATTGATGAATAAGAATCGTAATATAAATCTATGACGTTAGACGGTAAAAATTTTAAACAACTATAATTATTATAATATACATATATCATATTATAATTTAACTAACCGAAGAAAATACATAAAAAAAAAAAAAAATTATAAACGGTGATTGTCACTCGGATATTAAAATGTTATTATTATGCTCTTGCCCGTCCACCTACGTTTCGTTAACATTTTTAGTACCCTATTGTTAATAACACATAATTAATGTAAAAGTATATCCGTAATGTGTAACATCATATTTATAATTAAATGATAAATCAACACGAAAGTGAATATCATTTTATCTGAGCTATTGAGATATAGAAAATTCGATTAATTTTTAAAATAATATAAAGGAATTTATTTTAAGAACTAACAGATATTTGAGAAATATTTTAAATGAACAAAAAAATGGGAACACTGATTCGAAAATTAAAAAATTTAAATTTAAATCAATTACTATACCCAAAGGAAATAATTGGAATAAATGACGTATGAAATCGTATGAAAAAAAAAATTCTTTTATTAAAATTAATCCGTTAGTAATTGTTTCCGAAATATTATCTAGCTTATTGTCATAATTGTTATTTTTGCGGTGTATAATTAATCAGAACTCACCTGACGCTCGTCAATGTCATTTAAAGCTCACCGCCACCAAACCGCATCATCACACGCAATATATTACCGATACAGTACGTAAAATACGAATTTGTCAAAGCTCGTGTGTGCGTGTGAATACATATTATCAATACGTCATGTAAGTATTAACGAAACGTGATTACCTTCAATAAAACTGAGATAATTTTTTTCTTCTTCGCCGATTTCGAAATAATGCACATTTATTGACGTGAACTCTGTTACATTATCCCGTAGACTGTATTGTTGATCGTACCCGTGTGAAACAAAATCGGTACGGAGTGATGTGTGTACGTACGTACGACTCAATCGTAGGAAATCGATAAATCCATTTTTGGTTGGAAAATTATCATGTAATATATAGTATGATCGCGTTAGAACGATTGCAAGGGTTGCACTCGGAAACGACCACTTTGACGATTTGATGTTTTTTTTTTTCATGTGGAACGCTTATAGAAACATGTAAATAGTCGTTTAAACAATGACGTTATTATCGTTCGTGTAAAATATTTTATTACAACCGTATACGGTTATGTGACGACGCTTGATGTGATGGTCACAACCGGTCGATGTTTAATTAGTACCGCTGACGAAATTAAAAAAAGAGAAAAAAGGGTTAACGTGATAGGGTTAAACGTGACGGAGGGGTGGGTAAGGGGTGAGTGGAATGCAGCTGGACTGCAACGCGTGTTTACGCAGTTCGTGCGTATTTATATATAACGTACCTGGCACCTGGTCCGCGAGGAATATTATAAATCGCACGTTGAATTATAGAATAATATATGATACGATATTCCACTGAAGGGGGTTGGAGACGGGGGGCACGCGTCGTCGTCGTAGTTGTGTCCGCGACAAGAAAACAAAAAGCCACGAAGGGATTATTGCCCCGAGGTCATAATAACGGTACGCGCGGGACGACCTCTTTCTCCACTCATTCTCTCCGTTTCAATGCAGCACAATAAATGTTTTGTTTTGCGTTTTTTCTAACCATTTTTTTTTTACGTTCACGGGCAACAAAGGACCGCGGGTCATCCGCGGCCGACCCGCGACGACTTGCGAGCGCGCGTGTACATCTGCGCTCGTGATGCCCGCGAATTTATTCATAAATGCCCGCGGGCCAGCTGCAGTCGACGGTCCCCCCGAAGGGCGACCAGTGGCGTGCAGTTGACCCTATGCCCGAGAACAGGACAACGCGACGCATGTACCCCGCGATGTACGCACATCCCGTGGTCGGATCCCTCTTGTACACATGTGCCGCGTGAAAACAATAACAATAATAACATAGGTACACTCGTTTTCCGGACACGCGCTCAGTTCACGTTCGTAGAAACGCGCACGTTTCCGTTGTTAACGGCCATCATCCATTGATGGTCATCCCTTTTTTTTTTCTTTTTTATTATTATTATCCGTCGAATTAGCCGCCGATTCGCCTCGCACCTGGTACCGAAATTATCACTTCATGCGTTTGTAACCAGTACGTGTTCCTAACGTGTATTTCAATATTTATGTTTATATTTAAGTCTTACGCACACCGTTTGTATAATCTATTTCGAACGTTATGAAAATAACAGAGAAATTCGGATACGGTGTCCGTTGATTATTGGTTACGTGCCCTGATTAAACTCAATGTAAACAGTTACGATGTGCTGCGCAATAGTTCGAATGATAGTTGGATTTATTCTGATGGGTTCCGCTGTACACAAAGTAGTGTATTTTTATACCATCTCTTTAACGAGCAAATTAACCCTATTAAACAATGCTTTTCGAAATATGTATTTACTCATGGTTTAAATTTGAATGTATTGTAGTTGAGATTAACTAAATTGCAATTATGTTGTTGGGATCAAAGTTTATAACGATGCGATTCTACCGCACAGTTTTCACCGATATATTTATATTTCTTTATTGTTACAACCTAATAATAATAATAGTATAATCTTTTTTTATTACTAATGGTAATTTGACCTATAGTTAAACTATAATAAAAAAAAAAAAGAACCATGCAATTCGTTTTCTTAACAAAAATCTCATCAAGGCGTATTAAACAATAAACACTATATACATTATTATGAAAATTCCTAAATAATTTTGATTGTACTACCGGGTTTTACGCGCAGTTAATTTATATAGAACCTAACATCAATTGGGATAACTCATAATAACTTATAATACTATACGAACATCTTTGATAGCCTAGTAACAAGTATTTACCCATTATCGTCCGATTGTTTACCCGAAAAGACAGATGGGAACGAATTTTTTAATATCGTATATCAGTTAATCCCAACTAACTTATTATTTCAATTTTTAATTTAAAATAAACGAATAATTTTCACCTCACGTATATGAACCTAAAAATCTGAATAAGTTTTGAAAGTGTAGAACAGAAGTTTTCAGAGGTTTATACACCGATTACGTGAAGTCTTGTGTGCAAATCATTCTGTGCGTAAATTGCAATGAAAATTATGATGTTTTTTGTTAGGTACTTAGTCATGTTATTTTTTCAAATTAAATACATATATATGTACAATTTACTAATATACAATAAACAATGTGTATACATATTTATTCTACGACTAAAATTAACTAGGGTATTCTTCTAAAAACTTTAACTTTGTATTGGATAACAACAAAAGTTTCAACGATTTTATCAAAAGTGCTTTAAAATGCATAACTGAATGATGCAAAATTCTTGTTTTCTTTATTTATTCGTATAAATTAAATATTTATACTTTTCAAATGCCTAGATATTATTCAAAGATAAGTAACGTGTAAAGTTTTAAGGTCAGTGTATACAAATAAAAATCAATAAGTAATTGATATACTTGGAGCATAATTATTTTTTTTGCAATAACTTTTTCCTCCTTAGCTACATTTTTATAAACGCGTGCTGTACGAATAGTTTGATCATCGACTTACAATAATTTCTTCCATAATGTTTTCATCTAATATAATCAATAAGTCCTTTTAAAGTTTCCAACTCAACTAATAGAAACTTGAGTTATATTGTCATTGTTCAATCAAGTGAAATGTGATGCAACGTAGTGATCGCAGTGCATATAAAAAAATGATAACCGTAAAAATCGTATTTTTATAATTTTCTGTTTGTTTTTGATTATTTTTGTGTGGTTTTGTGTATCGAGTTAACAAATGTGTCTGTGCATTAAATATTACCAATATTACGAATGAGGCGTTTACGAATTTAGGTGAACATTTATTTTTTTTTGAAGCCGAAAGTTTTAAGTACGCACGGATAATTCATCGATACTGACGTACTCCACGTCATTTGACTAGTTCGAATTCGACTAAGTTTTTATTATAAAATGGCAGTCGTAACGATATCTCTCGGGCTAAACGTGAAACTATTCAACCCTTTCGGTGCGGAAGGGGTTGAATACGGGACGGATGTCCACCAGGCGGCGCCACCGGACGGAGTAATAAACGTTCAGAACAAATGGAACAAATGTTTCCTTTGTAAAAGCTCGCGTAGATCGGAAAAACAAACGTCCCGCGTAACGCAGTGCATTAATACTAACCGGTATTTGAGTGATGCGGAAAAAATTGTAAAAATTATTCGCGCGCGAAAATGTTCCGAATATTTCGTGTTTCATCGTCGTCGTGCGGAATGAGAAAACGTTAAGTTGGAAACGTCCCGTTGCGGAACGTGTCGTGCGAAACGAAATATTAACCATATCGGTATTAACCGTAACATCGGTTTTTTCGGACCCGCGGTACACGGCGTGACGATAAAACGAAATGTAGGTGGCACACGGTGGTCGCGGCGTTTGCACATGGTGCCGCGTCGGGCGCGAAGACGGTGTGAAAGGAAACGGAAAAATTGGCCGCGGCCAAACGTCTGGGCGAAGCGGTCGCCGTGGCGGAGGGATGAAAAAAGGAAAAATGGTAAAAAATAAGAACAAGGGAAGAACGGAGGAAAAGCACCCGGGCGCCCGGTGGCGGAAGGCGGGCGCGGGTGCCGATGGGTGTCGGACGGGCGGGCGAGCGACAGAGCGAGCGGGAGGAGAGAGAGAGAGAGCGCTATGGGGGACGGACACGCCGGCGCAGAAACGAGCACGTAAGGAAAACGTCTGGCGCGGCGCGGCGCGGCGACGAACCGCGCTTCCTAAGAGGGAAAACCCGACCCCTATCGCGGGCGGCCGTAGAAAAGGACGGAGCGCGGCGGCCGGCGCACGCCACGGACAAGGACGGCGATATGTCCGCGACTCCAAGACATCTTGGCCGCGTATCTCCTCAGTCGCGCCGCGACGCCGACACAAGACGCCACCGCCGCCGCTGCCACCGCTCTTACCGCCGACGCCGCCGTCGCGAGTGCTACACACACACACACACACACACATACACGCACACACACATGAACGGTGCGCCGCGCGCGTACAGCCGACGTTTTTCCGGCCCGGCGTCTTGAGACGTCGCTCAGTCTCAAGACTACTCCGGCGTCGCGAACACCTTAGGTGCCCGACACCACGCGTACGAGAAACGCGTCGCTGCCACGACCACCACCAAGTCCGTTACGCGCCCAACCACGGCCCGGTCCGTACCGATAGATACATTTTCACCGTTCGTTTTCGCGAATCCGTACGGAAAACTTTAATTTAATTTTTCCCCCCCTCGAGTTTTCGTACCGTGTAATTTTTTTTTACAAATTTTTTTTTTTTTTTTTTTTACAGATTTCGAAAAAAATTTATTAAGTATTTTTTTTTTTCAATCGTATTACCGCGTGTAAACATCGTAACACCGCCGCACGCACCGGACCGTTAAGTCTTACCACGCACACCATGCGCGACTGTTACCACGTCTAACGGTCGCCGTGGACACTCGGTCGGACGCAACGAGAGGACAAAGTTTTCCAAATTGTTTCGCATCAGTCAAGACGATCTCTTCGGTGCCGCTGGATCTTCGCGCCTCGCCCGGCCACGAACACCTGCAGGGCGACGACGACGACGACATGTCGGCCGACATACAGCAACAGCAGCAGTCCGTGTTGTTGCAACGGCCGGTGTTCAAGATGAACCCAGCCGCGGATTTCTGGCAACAGCAACGACAACAGTACCAGCAACACCAGCAGCAGCAGCAGCAACAGCAGCAGCAGCAACAGCAGCAGCAGCAGCAACAGCAACAGCAGCAACAGCAACAGCAGCAGCAACAGCAACAGTTACAGCAACAGCAGACGGTCGTATCTTCGCCGTCGCCGCAACCTCAAACGGCACCGCCGCCGTCCGTGCTGCAAGTCAACCATGACCAGCAGCAGCAGCAAGTGCCATCGTCCATCGTTGTCGGACAACAGCAGCAGACGCCGAACAGCGTGCAAGTGACGGCCGACGAAGCGATCGCCATGGTCGCTCAACAAGTCGCGCAACACCAACAACGGCAACAACAACAACAACAACAACAACAGCAAACGCAAAACGTCGAAATGGCTGACGAATCGGACGTGGTCGTCGGGCAACCGTCACCGGCGGCTATCCGTGCGGCCGTCCAGCAGCAGCAACAGCAGGATTCGTCGTCCGTCGCCGGTCTGACCGGACAGCCCACGGGCACCGGCGACTCGGCCGTTTCCGTCGTCATAAACCAGAACAATTCGCTGGTGTTAAACGATCCGAAAATGATGACCGAAAAACTAGTCAGCGAACTACAGGTGAGTTGATTTTATACATTTTTTTCCCCCCTAACAATGTGTTCTATACCGAAAGATTAATAAATTCATTTTTTCCCTTCACATAAGTCGGCAAGTGCATTTTATCCGACTTATTTTTTTTTTTTTGTATCCTAACGAGTATTTGAATAATTTTAACAAAAAAAAATAATAATAATAATAATAATATTAAACGAGCCGTAAGGTTTTTTTTTCATAAAGACCAGAGAAAATTATTATTAATTTTTTTTAACGTTACCTAAAAAATGTTTTTTTAATTGTTACGTTAGAGAAAAATTAAATTTTAACTATAATACGTGTTAAAAATTTACCAAAAGCTTAATGATTGCCTGTAATACAAATTAATGTCATACGTTTCCATAAAATCTAATTATATATTTTCGAGTAAAGTTGATTTTTTAGTAAAAACAAAAAATCCCGTCATATAACGTAAAAATAGAACATTTAATACTAAAATCACAGTAATAGAATTTTTGTTTTAATACGCTCTATAATTGAAATGACTTTATATATATTTTTTTTTCTTCAAAATAAACAACTCAAAAAATATTATATTTGTGAACTGTTATATTTAATTTTTTATTTTAAAACTTAAAAAAAACCATTGATATCAAAAACATCAATAAAATAAATATTTGACTTAAATATAGGCTTTAGCTCAAAGAAAAATTTTTATTTATTTTTAAAAACAATTTTTATAATATTCCATTCAGATTTGTTTAAAAAAAAAAAAATATTATTTTAAAGTAAAAAAATAACCGGCACGTGTATTTGGACTGTAATGAGTTGAAAAAACATAAATTTATTTTTAAAATTAAATTATTCCGAGGTAAAAAAAAAAAGCGCAAAAATAATATTAATACAAAACAGATTGTTGGCATAGTATCAAATAGACAAGTTGATGATGGCCACAAAAAAAATAATATCTTAAAAAAGGTAATTAAAAGAAATAAATAGGTGTAAAACTGATGATAGACAAAGGTCGTAGATATATTTTATATTTAATTTCACTACACAATTGCATTATTTAATTTATTTGAACAATAAACCAATTAATTTACTTTAAACTCTTTTATTCTAATACACCTTTAAGAATAATTTAGCTGTTTGTCTACAAATAAAAATGTTACGAAGAACATGAATAAGACATAAAAAAAATTATTAAATATACTTAAACTTATTCATTGCTTAATATAATTTATTTTTGATAAATTATAACCATTTTAAATTTATCACATATAAATTTAATTTGAATTTAATTTTAATAAGTGTTATAAATTATATGACGTTGAAATTCTTAGAACTAAAAATATTAATTTATGTATGACTAGTGTTTGTCTCTTTTTTCTAATTTACCAAATTATATTTAAAAAGAAATTTTATATTTTAAAATGAATTTTGTTTCAATGATATTTTACGTATACATTTTCTCTTATTATATAGAACATTATAATTTTGACTAGATTCAAATCTTTTCAGAAGACTTCTTAAACTAAAAAATAAAAGCAAATTGAAATAAATGTTCACTATCTATATTATCTATATTTGTAGATATTACATGAAATTACCCAACCAACTAATAAGCGTTGAAAGTGAATTAAATAATTGTATAACTTACACATAAAGTACATTGTCGGTAAAACACATTTTTCAAAAAAAAAAAAAAAAATACAACTAAAAATATATCTGTAAAAATATTAAAAAAAAGTTTAAAACCACAGAATACTGTCAAAAATGTGTATGTTAAGTTGTGAAATTGAACTGTACAACTGGACTTACGGTAAACCAGTGCGTCCTGGTCATTGTTGCCTAAACAGCCAAGGGGGTATATTCTCGGGTCCTAACCTTAAAAACCGGTTGGTCGGCTTGAGCACGGGCTACATGACCGGATGGCCACCAGAGGAGGTGTTGCGTAACGCGTACGACCCTTATTATAATAATGTATTTCGAAATGGGGTAGCCTTTTATGGGGTTTTTTTTTTTTGTGTGATACTGACTGGTCATTTGATCCGGTTTTTTCATCGTGTTGACATAATTTTGGAAATATGTTGGAAAAAAAAATTATACTTTTAAAATATAGTATATATATAATTGAAATAATAATAGATTAAAAAAAAATGTAATATTGAAACAAAAACAATAGACGGTTGATAGATATTAGCTATGGAAAAATAGGTGTAACTCTCGTGATACGGCTGTGTGGGTGGGTAAAAGTGGGGAGTACATAAGGAAACTCCGTTTAAGGACGAACGGGCTGGCAAAAGGAATCGGCAAGGACTTGCGCGTTTACACTCATCGTTGGTCGTGAGCGGTGGCGCACTCTTCACTTCGAAGTTTCTGCCGTTCGACACTGTTATCCTACCGTAGTGGCCACGTGAACACAACTCGAGTCACAACCCCCTTGGCTGATTTGAGACAGAAAAACGTGTGCCTATTAAACGTATTTCGAAAAAAAAATTGACAGTTATATCAACAATAACTCACGGCAATATACAATTCAATAATTGACAAATTTATAATTTATCTAATGAATGCACTTGTACGTAAAAACAAAAAATAAAAAATAAAAATATAAGAAAATAAAATAGAAATTATAAAACAATTTACATTACATGCCATTCCGGAACTAATGGAGTGCTGTACAAATGAAATAATAAAATTCTCATAGGTTACATTATTCCAATAAAATATTATATTTTTACTAATATGTTTTGTTGTTGTTTGACTCTAACCACGAAAGCAATACAAATTTGTGTATTATATTTTTAACGCTGCTTATTGTGGATTCATCGTGTGCAGAACCGATCGATATCAGACCGCACTCTCGAAGAATGTTGGTCCACACTTCAGCGAGTCAGCTGGAATGTCTTTCGTTCAGTACGCTATTTTTACATACAATAATATAATTACAGTGTTTTACATGGACTCTTATTGTTTACGGTTTTGTTTCAAATAGCGTGTGTAATGTACTTGGCATTTTTGTTTCGTTATTATTATCATTATTTTTGCTCACTTTTTGCCTGCATGTTTTTATTACCTTCCCGAAAAGTCAAAACAGCTTTTTATACGAATAAAATTCATTTAGTGCACGTTCCTTTCGATATTGTTTTTTGTGTGCTATAATAATATATGATATTAGTATTGTATTTATTTTTTTGTGTGCGTATATATATATATATATATATTTATATATATATATGTAAATGTATAAAGCAAGAAGGAGCGGAGGGAGAATACTAAAAATATACTAAGAAAAATACAATATAATACAATATAATAAAATACAAAAGTCTTCGGGTCACGCGACCGTTCTACCTACGGACGTCTCCTGTCAATACGCACTCACAAACAAACCCTTTGCAGGCAATCGTGTGGAAAAAATCAAGTTGCTCATTTGATTATATCACGAAAAATGTGTATATACAAATATATATTCATATAAATCGCATATGCACGTTATAACGTACCCGTTATACATATCACCATTATTAGTTTTTATATTTGGTTTGTTTAATAGTTTGACAATTTTGTGAAAATAAAATAAAATCTCTTTGTTGAACAATAAAGTCGCTTGTCAATATTCTTCCTAAGATAGCAATCATCCGGGTAAAATATTCCATTTTTCTACTGTAAACAGGATCGATGACCCTAAGTTTTACATAACGTCAATTAAAACCTTTTTATCGTAACAAAGGATGTTCCTTCTGTTTGGTAATAGCCGCCACCACCGCTACCGCCGCCTTCTCGGTTCTCCAATAGCGTATGAAGTCCGATTGTGGTTTTGTATGTAAATACATCCATTCGCTATCTTGATTTCGCCATCCAAACTCAATTAACGAATTCTCCTTTTTATTTCAATCTTGACTCGCTCGCTTCAGCCCGACCACTGCTCCTCGGAGAAGACACGACGCTGACATGTGCCACGAACAAAGTTAATTAGAGCAATATACGACCATCGGTAGGTATCTACATTTAAAAATAACTAAAAGTCCGTCCGCGATAGTTCGTCTTTAAAACCGTGAGAAATAACTGTTAGCAGCTGTTAAAATCATTTTTTATTTTGTTATATCCTATTGTTTTAATGAAAGAGAAACACCAGTGCATTATCACGTGGGGATAATCCGGTTCAGGGAGTTTTTTTCATAAACAACAGATTAAAAAAAAATCATACCTCTTACGTACAGTAAAATGACAAACCAAATAAAAAACCCTCTAACATGATTTAAAATGTTTCTTTTATACACTTTTAAATTTTATTCAAATCTTATACTACTTAATTGCTACTATAAGTTTGACTTTGTCGATTTTACTTCGTCCATCCCTACTACAGATTATAATAAATAATGTATAAAACATCAACTAAATTATTGACAATAATGAACTTCATTTTATTTTGTTTTTCGAAATTTGTAAATACTTATAATAAAATCAACGTAATCGCTTCAAATATTAATTGTACGGACGATATCTTATATCGTTCGTTTGTAGTAAGATAACGGTAAGTACATAAAACTAATTAGGATGTTCTAAAATTCGTCGTTGCCAATCATGAATCATAATAGATTCTAAACACAATGTTTATGAATAATCAAAATCTTAATATATAAAACAAAGCTCTTCTGCAGCTATAGTAGAAAATATGGTCTGTTATTAGTTAAGCGCGCATTCAAAAAGATCTAAATAATATAAGCAAAACCCTATAATTTTCATCGCACCAAAACGTAAAATATTAACTATACATTTCAGCTTTCATTTTGCCGGTCCATTTCGATCAGCCGTGCACCACCGCTGCCGTAACCCGGGAGTTTTGAATGTGAACCGTTAAAAAATATCGTCGTTTTAATTACTTCTGACCGATGTATTCTGGTAAAATAGGTTTACCGTGCATTTCGTTCTCATCGCGGAAACAATGATACGAGAAATACATTTTATATAATAATATGATTTCGTAATGTACGCGTGCATTCGAATCACGTCGGACGGCGGAAGCCGACCCGTGAAGCGATCCGAAATCCGAAGGCCTGCTGGCAGCGGTACGAATAAACCTATTAATTGTAAAACAATGAAAAATTGTATCGAACAAAATAAAACGTTCAAAAATAATTAAAAAAAAAAAAAACTCGGAACACAATGCTCCAAAGTCGACGGACCGAAGCAACGACGGCTAGCGATACTAATGGGGGGCACCACAATGGCGACGGGCGATGGCTCAGACCCGGCAATTTCATACGCAAATACATATAATAATAATAATAATAATAATAATAATAATAGTTATAATGATAGTAATAAGAGTAGTAAAACAAAACGAAAAACGTCGTCGAGGCTTCCGAAAGAAATAAATTCGAACACGACACGCGAGAAATGCGAACGGCCATAAATAAAAACGTCTCCCCTGCGCTTATTTTTCTGCTAAGAAAATCCCGTCGCACACGTAGTACATATATTATTATGTATACGCGTACCGTAGCGCAGCAGTCGGTTGGCCCCGGGGCGGACGGTGGCGCCCGTCCCTAGGAAGAAAAAAATTATTGTTATTATTGTTCATTATCTGATTTCGAGCGCGGAACAGCGTGCACGAACGGCGGTGGCACTGCGCAAAATCTCTCCGATCAACGTTTAATTTATTACGTTTTGTACCCGGCCGAACGTTTTGCGGGGTCGGTTCGCGTGGATATTTTTATTTCCATTCGCTCGATTAAAAAAATATAAAATAGAAATACTTCCGTTGCACGCAAAACGTTCCTGTTGACAACCGCGGGAAAACACAATGATAATAAAACGTACACGTTTATAATAATATTATAATATTTTTATGACTCCGCGACTGGGAAACTGGACACCCACCAGGCCTTGTTTTTTTTTTTTTTTTTGGGGCGATTTCATTGCATCGTAATGTTGTTAATCGTTGTATAGTTATACTTGCGCGAATGATTTTCTGTTCGCGTCGCGTTTGGCGCGCGAGGTCGTTAAACGTCTGGTGACGTATACGCGATGCGATAAAGAAAGAACACAGCAGCTTATGCCGTTAACAACACTCTAAAACACACATATAGTACTCGGCACACATGTTAAGTTCCCGACCTAAGTCAACGTTGGGCTAGGCCAATACCGGCGGCGGTGGCCGTACAGTACTATTTGCGACTTCGTCCGAACAACAACCGTGGCGGCGGGCGGCGTCGGCGTTATCATGAGATTTGCTCTGAAATCATTATCATGTTGTTGTTCGCGTTGTTAGTTATCGCCGTTGTTTTGACGGCGTCCGGACGAACATAAAAATATAAAAAATCCCAAACAATGTTTTGATGGCCCGGAGTCAGAATCGTTATGAAATTCAATTTTACAAACTTTCGGACCAAAGTGAGTAAATGTAAAATTAATGCGCGCGCGGGCGTGCTCACGTCGGTTGCGGTCGTTTTAACCAGAACACGTTTATCTGGGTCACCTCTTTTGTCGAAGGGGTTTGTTTACTCTATTTTTCTTTCTGATGGTTTTTTTTCTCTTCGACCCGACTTCTCACACGTGTGTACTGTACATCTATATTATATCTAACAGTTGCGTCGGTCCCACCGCGTCATATGGTCTACGATGACGACGAACGCGTCCTGCTCGTGTTTTCAACCGCACGCGAGCGCCGTGTTAAAACGTTATGACGTGTACTTGCCGTTTTCGTAACCGTTCGTCTATTGTATATTATCGGTGAAAAATGAATTGGATGTAAGGAAATTATGTACACAACACTATCTATGTAGTCACAAAAAAGCGCGTAGGGTTGTTTTCCGTGGTATGACATAATTTACACGGATTCCTTCCGTGTCCTTGTCCGCTATTTTTAGATGAGTTCTAATAATAATACGTCCGACCGGTCGTGAACCCGAATCCCTCTACTTTTACTTATTTCTCCTCCCGTAACCCTAGGAACCTAAACACAAGACCCCCAGAGAGTTGTTTAGATATACTTTTTTTTTTTTTAATGAATTTATTACAGTATTTAATGTGTGTACATCTTTCATCCCACTGAAATTTACAGTCAAAGATTGACGAGGGATTTTTTCCTAGTATTTCTTTATGCACATTTATCAGCATTTTATATTCTAAATTCATTTACACTGACCAGCCACAACACGATAAGCCTTATCATTGCAAGATGCATTGACCCGAATGTTCTAATTCGATGACGGAAACAGCCGCGACTAACCTTCTTTACCTATGTATTTTACGTACGTTTGCATTTATACCAGTATAATGCAATCGATATTAATTAATAGGAAGATTTATTTTTATTTATTTTCTAATAATTATTATTAGTTCTGTACTGATACCCATCGCCAGCCGGATTGATGAATAGTGTCTGTCTACATAGTTCATTAGTGTTCATTAGTCGTGTTTTGACGGGTTTCCGAAAGGGTTGTTTGTTTAATTTTTTTTTTTCTTTTTATTTCCCCGTTACGAATATCACCTGGTGTTTTAAACCGTACGCCGTACAGAAACTATCCTATGTTGACCTTATGTCTGCTGAGGTGGTAGCAGTGGTGTCTTGCAGGTGATCGTAGCCGCGAAGTGTGTTTTACGTTCTACCAAGGAATACGTCACCGAGTACTATACGTAAATCAAAATTATTAATAACAATAATAATAATAGTAATAATTCTTTTCATTTTTCTCCGTTTGTTTTCCGCATACTTTTTTTTCGCACTACACCCCGAACGTCACCGCGTAAACGTTCGGATATCAGTCAAACAGTGTAGCGATAAATTCGGGTGGGCGGAAAAGAATAAAAAATAGTTTTTAATCATCGTCGGAATCCATAAAAATCACATCAGCTCCGTTAAGTGTCCGTAATGGATTTACCCCTTTTACCGCCGCTGCCTGTCGGCGAAAAAAAAAGTACAAAAAAAATTATGGCCATCGTTGCCGAGAAAATGCAATCATTGTTAAGTGGTTTATTGTTATTAGTGTAGTTATTGTAGTATCGTGTTTTTCGTGTTTTGTTTTGACCGATTTTATTTTATTTTATAATATACGCTGTACATAGAGCAGTCGCTCATGTACACGCGCACGCACATTGTCGCTATTGTTTATAATGTATGTTGGATGTATATGTGTTTTGTGTGTACGTGTGTAATAATTTCGTAACTCACTAGGTGACGACGACACGGCAACGGCGTGTGGAGGCGGCGACAAAGTATAATTTTTTAATTGTTCCGGTTTAATTAACCGCACGAACGGGTGTAAAAAAAAGAAGCTTTTCAATTAATATTCCAAAGCGAGAAAAAAAGTTTTTAACCTAGTAATTGAACCCTATGCATAACGGGGGTTTTTTTCACATATTTTTAATTTTTAATTAATCCCTAATTTCAACACGTATGATCTCGTCGCGTGTACCGTTGCGTTAAACGTCAGGTGTGCCAACCCCCGGCAGACCCTTCACGGTTTCCTCCTATCCCCCCTCCCCGTATCGTCCTGCCATAGTGAAGACGAGTCGTTCGCCGCTGTTTTCTCCCGTAAGCAATCCATTTGAACAACGCGGTACAAAATACCCCTTCGAGGTCTCGCGCACACCACCGGTCCCGAACCAGCTTCGCAGTCCGCAGCCGCCGCCCGCCGTGTCATGTCGTCGGCCCACCCGGGTACGCGGCCACCGCCGCCGCGGCCGCAACAGCAACAGCAGCAGCGGTGGCCGCGTACTCATAACCGTTTCGTTTGTGCCGCAGATCTTCATGCAAAAGTCCGCGGCCATGCAGATGCAGGCGCGTGACTTCGGTCGGCCCGGCAGCATCGGTGGCAGTTCGCTGAGCGGCAGCGGCCTGGAGGTGAGCAAACCGCACCAGTGCCAGCAGTGCCTCAAGTCGTTCAGCTCCAACCACCAGCTGGTGCAGCACATACGCGTGCACACCGGCGAGAAGCCGTACAAGTGTTCGTACTGCGAGCGCCGGTTCAAGCAGCTCAGCCACGTGCAGCAGCACACTCGACTGCACACAGGTACCGTATTGATTTTGGACGTATTTATTATGCACGTATGATATCGAGTTCGCGAATATCGTGGCACGATTTTTTAGTTTTTTTTTTTTTAATACCCGCGCGCGGTCAACCAAGTGACACGTGTGTAGGCTCCTTGATATAGATGATCCCGGCAAATAGGTCGATGAGTCGCGGACGAGAAGAGCCGGGAACAGCGGGACCGCCGGGAGAGCAAAAAAAAAATCCCGACGTCCTGCACAAAAACGTTTCACGACCGGAGAGAGAACTGAGAAAAGTTATATTGTTCTTGGTTCCTCCGCAAGCGCGATTTTCCAATCATATCCAACCAATTTGTACACCCTTTCCCCTCGTCAAACCCACGCACCGTCACCCTACGCCGGTCGTCACCGTTTTATCCCGTTCGACGTCTTCTCGGGCGCGCACACTTATTATTATCTATTCAAACTTTTTGAAAAGCTTCCCCCTCCATTCATCGTTGGCCCGCGCTCTCGTCTCCTGTGCCCCGTAAAAATTTACCGTTGTCGTGTTTTATTCGGAGATTGGCGAAAAAAAGAGAATATACTTTCTTAAAAGCCGAAACGACGACGGCGTTTTAATTATACATTTCGACCGATAAGTTTTACAAAATAGTTGTACCAGAGGTTTTTACAAATCGAATTATCGACAGATTTTATTTTATTTTTCCGCGCCCAGCAAGGACTCCGCCACATAGTTTTATTGTTTTTTTCCTTCGTTTTCATCTTAAGGGTACAATAATTTGTAATTTATTGTAAACGGGCTTTAAGACACGGACATTTAGAATATTTTTTTTTTTAAAAAAATGTACAAACAAATATTGTATGATATAAATTAAATATCTCAAAATAGTCTAGACGAACTTCACTTCTACATATTATATTATTCGTATTTTCTTATTTACTCTCAATAAAAGTGCGATGGCAACGTGTTATTTACATAGTCGTTCACTTCACATGACGTATTAATATAATAATTTACATAAATACGTATAGAAAAATGTAATATTAAATAACATGTTAACATACATATATTCTAATTCAATCGAATGAGATAAAGGCCGATTATAACCACGAACAGACGCTATGTCATGTCAATGAACTGATACGCAGCGAAACTTTATCTACAACCGATGAGAGGTGTTTCTCTTTAATTGCTGTCGCTGCCGCACTGAGCCGTTTTTATTTCCCGTTGTTTTTATGAATATCGAGATGATTTATTTGCCAATAATTATAAGTGCAGCGTTTTCTATAAAAATCGTTTTAGAATTACAACGAATCAAGTGCAAACATTCATTAAAACTCAAATTCTCCGACAGACAAAAGATAAACCATTGTTATGAGATGAAATAATGCCAGGCCGTCTGTGATTCCGGAATTATTATTATAAATAATTTTTACATGTATAATAATTATTATTAGAATCATATTGCGTTGCGCAGTTGCTATACGGGGATCCAGTACAACACTTCGGGTAAAATATTTAAATGCGTTTGAGCTTTAAAATGTAAATACATTCCCATAAAAAAAAATCCAGCGGTGAGCATCTGTCTACATAACAGTTATAAGGGCAAAAAAAATAGAATGAAATTAACACGAAAAAATATAATAATTTTTTCGCATTTCCTGAATAATCACGTTTCGAAAAATGGTCCATCATTAACAGCCATTCATTCCGCCGTTAATTTTCTTCCCTTCAATATTCTCCGAGAAAAGTGTCCCCTACACCGCCTTTTTTTATGAATATAAAAAGAGCGACAATATTCAAAAAAAAAAATCCTTCTTGATTTTTCCCTGCTGCAACAACCTACGCGGCGTTGCGTGCGGACCCTTGTCAACTCATTGGTCGTTTTATTGTTATTTACTTTTAACAGATATTGGCAAAAAAGGGCGTTTCGCGAGCACTCCCCGCACTTTCGCATAAAGAAAAAAATAAAAAAATAAAATAAAGAAAAGTTTCCAATTATTCTCCGATGAATTCAATATCATCAACAAGTAGCCCAGCTTCGTTTTTTTGCTCCATTTAATCCTGACGTTTATTAAAAAGTAAACATTAATATATACATGCATATATCTGAATATTTATCTCTCTTAGATATTTTAATTTTAAATTATCAGGAAATTTTTAAATTACAGTAAAAATAAAATACAAAATTCATATTTATTCTCAGTTTATGGAAATAACTTAAAGTGATTTATGTAGAATTTTTACCCTCAATTTCGTCTCTCATATGTACACAATATCAGTTCGTTTTTATTGGGTAGTGACTAGCCCCATTTTTTTTTTTTTTAATTACTCATCAAACAAATATTTGCCTTATGTTATAGTGCCGTGTAAAACTGTACTCACACACGCACACTCATTTATAACAATAATATATAATATGTACGATTTAATACGCGTGTGCGCGGCCGTCACGTATATACAGATATACACACACACATGCATATATGCACACACACACACGCACCACACATGCACGCACTCACTCGTTCACTCACTACAGTCCGTGTGTGATTAAAACAGCTGCATCGAAGCAGGCTCTCACGCCACACTCGTAATATCTCACCCCCTCTGGGTGGGGTTTGGCACACATATGTGGGCGTGAGCGAAATCAAATATGGCTGATGTCCAGCGTCGTGTATAAGGGTAAACGATAATTTTGTTAAGAAATCTTTAGGCTAAACATATATCTTTGTACGTTCTAGATAAAGTACAGAAATGGCGAACCTATATGATCCGTGTGAATCATCAAGTAATCACGTTTAAAGCGATACCCTATAATTACGAGCTATGAGCTTACATTTTCATTTTATTTAGATTTTAATAAAATACATAGTAAAAACATCAGAAATTCATGGATACTCGTACATCAAAAACTCATATTTCTGTAAGTTATAGTTACGTTTTTTGAATTTGTTTCATAAATATCCGCAGTACTTATAAGAAATGCAAATGTACGAGTATAATAACCTATTTTAATTTAATTTTATTGCATACTATATACTATGTATAATTATGGCAGTTATGGCGAAATTATGTCAAAATACAATTTTATGTTTATCATTCTTGCAAGTTATTAAAATTTATACTCCAGTATGTTATCTATGATGTGTAATTAGTACGATTATAGATATTTATACTATAACAACTATCTTCACCGATCAATGGTGTGTCTTAATATTTGTTATTGCTGCTGACATATTTTATTATTCTCGAATGAATAGCTATAACACTTATACTCGTACACTGTTATTTTTCATTAATTATTACCAAATGCGTTCGTTATCGTAATTCTCTAATATATTACAGTAAAAAAAAATTTAAATTTGATAAACGCATTTATATCTTCTTCATGTAATATTGTAATATTCCGTTTGTATAAAAAAAAAAGGTAAATTATAATATAATCCATTGATTTTACCGGAAAAAAATGTAACTCGTGATACATATTGTATATTACTAGGTAAATGCAATTATTGAGTTTTTTTTCCAACAACAGATGCTATTGTTTTATAGTAACTTTATAATAGTATCAATGAAAATTAAAATATTTAATAAATTAAGTCCAAACGGTTAAAATAAAAAAATTAAAATAACACGAAAACAAACAATTGATTTTTATTCAAATGATATTTAAACTTATACGCTGTTGTGCAATTATTTTTCAATAGATGTATATATCTATATATGTAGATGTATATATATACAGATTTCTTTTTAAAATTGTCGTTTTAGGCTCGCTCGAAAAAATCGTATTTGTAGTTATTTATTTCAGCCCGAAAATCTGAGATTGTAATTGTCCTGAATTGGTTTTTTAACAGTAAATGATAACATTAAAATCGGTCAGAGTACAAAATGAAATAAAATAAAAAAATATTATACATAAATACTGTCCAAATCCGTTGTAGCATCAGTGCACGACCCTGCGGTAATATGGTGGGGCAGTGCGTTGTCGGTAAATGGGAATTTGGGTAAGCTCCGGGGGACGACGAATCGAGTTACCGAAACCAATTTCCGCGTGTACGCCAATCTCCGGTGAAAAATGTTGTCCGAATAAAATATAAAATTCGTCGAAATATTAACAACCGCCAAATCAATCCGAAAACGCGAGCGACAATTATTTTTTTTTAAAATTCGATTCGTAAAAACGCGCGTAACTATAACACGTATATGTCCCGTTCGGACTTGCGAGCCGCGCGGCGACGCCACGGATGTACGTACGTTGCACGCGTTTACTCGCGACGAGAGGGGTGTGAATAGTTGTGCTACGCGGAGTGCAGGGGATGGGTCGCGGTCGAGCAAAGGGAGACCAATGTAAACTGTCAAGTCAATCGAACCGTGTAAAAGGCATAAACATATAATATATACCTTGTAATAATAATAATAATAATAATAATAATGCCGTATTGTACTGTACATTTATACACGCGTTGTGTGCGGACGTTATTATCAGCAAGTTACGAGTCACACGCGCGCGCACGCACTGTAAGGCCGTAAGGCATTTATGGTGGACAGTCACGAATAACAGTGGCAGTCATATCGACGACGACATTTCGTGTTCATACTTATATATGATGTACATTATTTAAAGTACATCTATAAAGATATGTGTGTGCATGTGTGTAAGTGAACAATTCGTTGATGTACGAATACGCGCCCCGAACGTTCTTATCATTGACGATAGTATGTACGAATTAATTATTCGTCTCCAGAAGGGTCGGTACGCATTGCAGTGGAGAGTATAAGTTGTTAAACGACGGTGTGATAACGAGTGGCACGCGAAAATAGAAAACAATAAAATAAAAAGGCGAGCGAAATATTTGGTAATGCATGTGCAGTGGAAAATAGGAAACGGATAATGGGTACGTCCGGCGAACATGTCTCATGTCGCGACCGTCGAATTATTGGCCTGGAAATCGGTTACGGTCGAACCCCGGTGCGGTGGTGCTACGGCGTGAACGGTGTTGAAGTTCTTTTAACTT